TAATTTTATAAAACATTTAATACAAAATAAATATATGTATACGATGATATGTACGAAATTTACTCATAACAAAAATCATACGTCTACAATCTGAATTTAAATATGTATCAATAAATCGTTTTTTCTAGTATTAATAGTTTTTGAGAAAGTTGAATTTAAATTAAAATTGTAAATTTTTAACTTTGGAGATATTTTGTTTTTACACAGAATCAAAAAATGTAAATTGTTATTACATTATAAACTTTTACATGTGCTCACATAATGGTCAAAGTGAAAAGTGTCGATTTTTGCTAATATTTTATAATTTATTTTATAAACTAAAAATTCAGAAAAAAATGTAACCATATCACACGATATACATATAAAAAACAAAACATTTCTGTTAAGAATAATATCAAAGAAAGTTTTAAAACTATATTTTTTTATCAATATGCAAGTTCTACAACTTTGCATAACAGGCGACAACAAAACAGCAAGTTACACATGTTAAGTAAGAAGGCTATCGACATTGCGGATTACTATCGTCACCGTGTAGTCGCAAGTTTTGTTTTCAATATGTGATCGAAATAGACACATAGAGAACAGTAGTTCTCAATTCTGATGGTCGTCTTATCTATCGTGTGCATTTTGTGGTTTTATTGCCTTACATTATGTAAGCACATAGTACTGTTATACAAAAAATAAAATATGATTTTGTAGCTTTTTTATGCTTTCTTTAACAAAAATGTAAACTATTATTATTATTATACACAACGGATAATGTTAAGATCAAAATTACTGATATTAGCGATTTTGAATATAAAACAAGAACAAAATTTATTAGATGCTGTTGATAATATGCCGGTACGAGAATGTGATGTCTTCCAATACGATAACGCCCCCATACATTCCGCAATAAACGTCAAAAATTGGCACGAGGCTTAACAATTTCAAACGATGATGTGGCCTGCTCAAAGTCCAGACTTAAATTATATAAAAAATGTTTGGACATATTTAAAAATAAAACTAGCAAATAAATGCCGTACTTCACCAACAACAATAAATGATTTGTGGCAAAGAGTGCAGGAACAGTGGTATTCCATTACTGAATATTGATATTCTATTACTCAGAATACTGCGAAAATGTAATTTCAAGTATACCTAAACGCATTCAAACCGCTATGAAGCTCAAAGGCTCATGGACCAAATATTAAATACATAAAAATATGAAATGTTTCTTTAAAAATGAATTGTGGTACAAAACCGATTACACGGAAAAAATGTCTTTATCAAAATAATAACAATATTATGATTGTTTAAATTTTCTTAAAAACCTAAAATGTTGTACTTAATACTATATATTTTGATTCTTGTTATATGCAAACATTAAATAAAAATTAATTTTTGTAAAAATATCGTATGTGCTCACTTTTATATCTCACTGTACATGCTAATTTTCGGCCTCTGTCATGTAATTACAAAAATCAGTAGAGCAGTGGTAACTGCACACTGATTCAAAGACTGCCTTAAACACGTTGATATACGCAGAATTAATGTGACAGTAACAATAGTTTTTTGTAAATATTTCGGAAATTAAAGTTCATGCCCCCGACAACACATTGAAAGAATATTAAAATTATTCAATGTTGGAATATTAGACACTAGACTTTTGATAAGATTTAAATAATGTGTGTGTCCGTGACAGCGTATAGGTCAGTATGTGACCGCAGCTTATCTACTATTTCTGCAAGCAACTCCGCGGGGGTCTACAGTGCATATAACAAGTGGACACCAAAATTAAACTTCATATTGAAAATAGATTAATTGAGATATTAGGAAAATTCTAATATTTAATGTAATATTATATATTTGCAGAAGGTTTAACTGAACTAATTTTAATCATTTTTATTTTGGACTTGTGTAAGGGCATAGAATAATAATAAATGTGGGATCGGTTTATTCGATGTTCATCGAATACGATCGGGCGCGATCGGGCGAGCGGGAAACGCGGACAATTGGCGCCAAGATAATTCGGCGTTACTACGAGTTGACGCGAAAATTAGCGACGGAACAAAGAAGCGATTAGCAATTGTTTCGTTTTACGCGGGAATTGGTAACGAATAAGGAAAACGGCGTGGCGTCGCGGGAGAGTCCAGTCGTAACCGTTGAAGTAGCACGTTGTTCGAAAAGTTGTCCGAAAAGTTGTAGCCTAAGTGTTTGTATTTGTTTTTTTATATTCCTGTTGATTCTTATACCCTTGTTAAATTATTAAAATTATTGTTATTCCCAAAAAGTTTTTAATTCCGTCAACCTCGATAATTTCCGATCCTTCATAAATAATTATCAAACATAATACAATCTAATCAGTGTATTAAGATTTTGTCATGCAAGTCTAAACGTAAAATCATAGAAATCAGTTTGATCATCAAACTCCATTATGAAATATATTAATGTAGGTTGTTTTTAATAACTCAGACAGGAGTAGAAACAAATATGTATTTCAAAAATAAAAATGCGCTTAAACGTTTTTAAGATCTACAACTACATATTTTTTTAACCGTTCTGCATTGAAAAGTATTAGGGTATTGTGTCGGAAAAGTTAGCAGCATAACAAATATAAAATCAACAGTTTGTAAGATATCCCAAATTTTTGTACAAATTATCTCATTTTAATGTTAAGTATATTGTAATTTTTTTACTACAATGTCTTAACTCTTTTTTTCTGCAATATGTAATAAACGATTAAACTACAATAATATATATATATAGTACTGTTTAAAAAAGTGATATATTTGTATTTTTAATGTGAATCGAGCACTTACAGAAAAGTTAAAGCCGTAGAAATGCAAATTTTCTGATACCCATTAATTTTTCTCTTCACAACTTTCTTCTATTTCTATTTTAAAATTATGAATGATCGTTTGGAACATTTTATGTATTAGTCCTCACGGTGCTGTGATTTTTAAAAAGAGTAGATAAGCAGTAATTAAATAGTAATATACATACAGTGGAGGATAAAAGTATTCGTACACTTAAAATATAGAAATAAGAGCAACAATATTTTCTATATTATTAAGTATATATTTAATCATATATAGTTGTATATTATACATAACAATTACAGCAACAAGTGATTCAAAACTGAAGGCAATAATATCATGTAGTAATTTGAATTGACTTGAAATTCACGACACTGTACGAAATTGTCGGGACAAAAGTATTCGTACACTTAATTATTGCTACAATTATTTTAGCAGAAATTTTATAAATTAATATTTTGTATGATTACATGTCCAGAACGCGTGTCTTTGAGTGGCACAAAAAGTTCAAAGATGGCCGTGAAGACGTCGAGGATGAGCAACGCGTTGGACGACCGACATCGTCCCGATCCGATATGAATGTCGACAAAGTGCGGGAAATTTAAAATTTTGAAACCACCCTACAGTCCAGATATGGCTCTCTCTGATTTTTTTCTGTTCCCTTGCATTAAAAGAAGCCTTAAAGGACATCGTTTCGAGATGATTGAGGCGGTTCAAGCGGTTTCGACGGAGTGCCTGAAGAGTCTATACGCACTAACATCTACTTCGCGACGTGCTGTCGAGTTATATGTATAGAAAATAAAATAATTTTTAGAAAAAAAATACGCCGACTTCGAAATGCACTAAAAAGTATAAAATAATTTCTATTTCCTAATGAAGTAATTTCTATTTCATTCAACCATACAATTACGTAACAGATATGAATGAAACCTATTTACTCGTTAGGTAGTATATTAAATACATTTCAACCTTTTCGGAGGCGACGCAAAATTAAAAGATTATTCGTTATTTAATCGACCCTAGGACCCGATTAGGCCCCTCCACCTAAAGACAATTTGTATAAAAGACCCCGTACAGAATAAAATAAGATCATTGTGTTTCGAAAAGTTACGGCTATATCGAACCTCTGCCCCTTAATCCTCTTTCTACGGAATTAGGGACCGCGTAAGTGGAACAATCTCCGATTTTTTTAAAGTTTTGTGCCCCAGTTCCCGTGACACTAACAAGGCAACATATCGAACCGGCACACACCGATTTTAATGAAGCTTATGTAAAAGATAGTTCTCAAGAAAATATTTGACATGTATTTTTTTTATCGGTCATTGTTCATATTGAAGGGGTGATAATAGCCCTCAAAGTTAAGGGCTGAAATCATATTTTTGGGAATATCTCCGGAATTAAAAGAGATAATTGGAAGTTTTTTTTGAATTGTGGGTCTTTTAATAGAGAACTTTTCTGTATAAACAAATTTTAATGAACTTTGTTTGGTTAAATGATGTTTTGAAAATTTAGTTTTTGTTTAAATTTTTATTGAAAAGGAGCAGGCAGAGAGTTTTTATAACTGAATAAAACAAACACAATATCTTGATATAAGAAAAAACTTTATATTAACATTTAAACATTTAACGTGTGTATTATGGCGATCGAAAAACAAGAGTGAGATCATTATAACAAAAAACTGTTGTCAACGTATTTAAACATTGATAAGAGCAATCAAGAAAGTACAACTCTATTATGTAGGAACACCGTCGTGAATTGCATTTCCAACACTCTCCCTCAATTCCGCGGTGTTCTCTTAAAATCGTGAACAGGTAATACGCCTAAACCTGAAATACATTCTTCATGCTTTACACGGGAAAGCGCCTTGGTCAATACATCTGCCAGCATAGACTCGGTGGACAGATATTCCAGCTTGATTGGATGATCTCGAAGAACCTGGCGTATGAAATGATGACGTACATCTATATGTTTTGTCCTTGCGTGAAACAATGGATTGCGGGCCAGCTTCTGCGCTCCTTGGTTATCGTTATACACTTTGAGTTGAGCAAAATTTTGAAGCCCTAGCTCCTTAAGAAAACCTAGAAGATAAATACCTTCTTTGGCTGCATCGCTGACAGCCATATATGTACTCGGCCTCCGTTGAGGATAAAGCCGTTGTGCGCTGCTTCCTCGACTCCCAGGTAATAGCAGAACCTGCAAGAATAAAAACAAAACCAGTAAAAGATCTTCGATCGAGTGCACAATTTGCCCAGTCGGCGTCGACATAGCCAATTAATTCTTTTTGGCCCTTCTTGTAAATGAGCCCATGAGTTGCAGTTCCCCTAAGATACCGAAGAACTCTTTTCGCAGCCAGCCAGTGGATCTTCTGATAGTTACTACAGAACTGGCCTTTCGACATTCTAAGCTACCATCGGCATTATATTTGTTTCGGAGCACGAACCTGCAATCAACAAATTTTTGATTATTCGGTTTATTTACCAACATCCAAGTGTCGTTTGCAACAAGATTCTTGATTTCAGTGTAAATGGCATCCTTCCATTCTTCGGCGTCCGGACCATTCAGAGCCTGAGTACACGATATTTCTGATGCACTCATTGCAAAGCCAGCATCATGCCATTCTAGTTCCTCATCATCATCCACCGATCCACGATCACGATCTTGATTCGTGTCTTGAGACACTTTATTCGATGACAGTTCGCCTTCGTTTTCGGATGCGTTGCGAACTTCGTTGGTTTGAGTCGTTGCGATGCAGTTATCTCTAACATCTTCGACTACGGTACGATTATCCTGGATACGATCGGTGGCTACGCGTGTCTGACAATAGACTTTCAATGGGCGACCATGACCTCCAATACGCACGAGGCGAGGCCTACCATGTCCACGTCTCGTCGATGGGGTAGAGGCATTGGCATCTTGGTTACGATTGATCTCAACATTGCCATCAGGGTTTTCTTCTTCAGGAGCCTGCGACGTCTCCAGATCATCATTATTCCTTGACTGGCTATCTGCAACATGGTGATATGGAAGTACCTCAATATGTTGTTTATTCAAGGCTTCTTCACTATCTGATACGAAGTCCTTGTATTCGGTCTTTGGCCCAAATTCATCCAGAAATTTGACATCACGCGATGTGACAATTTTCTTCTCGTCTGGGATCCAAATGCGATAGGCTTTCCTATCTTCGGAGTAACCTACGAACACTCCTTGCCTTGATTTTTTCTCGAATTTCCATTTATTCGGTGTTTTATCGAGTACGAAAACTCTACTATCAAAAATTTTAAAATAGCCTATAAAAGGAGGCTTACCGGTCCATTTATCGTAAGGTGTACCTTCGTCAAGACTTCGTGTCACACATCTATTCTGAATGTGACACGCAGTGGCAACTGCTTCGGCCCAGAAGGAGGGAGAGAGCCCTGATTGCAAAAGCATGCAACGTGCAGACTCGATGAGTGTCCTATTTTTGCGCTCTGCAACGCCATTTTGCTATGGTGTGTGGACCGTGGTCAAACTTTGACGTATTCCACATTTTCTGAGAAAATTATCCATGGCCTCGTTGCAGTATTCCTTGCCGTTGTCCGACTGGAGAGCCTTTAATTTATGTCCGGTCTGCGTCTCCGCAAAATTCTTGAATTCGACGAACCTTGAAAAAACTTCGCTTTTATTTCGAATAAAATAAACTGTACAATAACGACTGTAGTCATCGATGAAAGTTACGATATATCGTGCGCCGCCTTGTGACATCACGCGCATAGGGCCGCAAACGTCACTGTGGACGATTTCGAGCAATGCACGGGAACGATTGGTTCATGTTTGAAATGGTAGACTTGTTAGTTTTCCGGTTAAGCATATTTCGCATTCGCACGTATTCGCGACACCGGTAAAATTTAAACCATGAACACACTGTTTATTCTTCATTAAATTCATGTCGTTCGAATTTAAATGTCCTAAGCGCTGATGCCATATTTCCGCGCTAGATTTGGTCGCACTGCTTACCGCGCATGCTGGCTGTATTTTTTGACGAACGAAAAATAAATCACCTTCGCGATCCGTAATTAATATTGTTCGTTTTTGAGAATCTTTTACTATCGCTTGGTTTTTGGAAAAAATTACTTCATTACCTTTGTCGACAATTTTGGAGACGGACAATAAGTTTACTCTTAAATTTGGAACGGGCAATGTGTCCTGAAGTTTGAATGAATATTCGATCTTGCCATTCGAGACCGGCAATATCAACACAACCTCTTCCGGTTACTCGCATCATTGCGTCGTTTGCTAACTTCAGTACAGAATGCGTTTCTTCCAATTCGATAAACAAACTTTTATCATTGCACAAATGGGACGTGCACCCACTATCCAAACACCATTTGGGCATAATTACATTATCGGTTGACGAATGTAAACACTCCGTGATAAGTGCCTGTTCGGCAACATTTGCCCTCGGAGAAACCGCTTTCCTTTTCGCAAAACAATTTGCAGATTTGTGTCCGATCTTGTGACAATAACCGCACTTGTATTTGACACGTCTGCCGTTAACATTTTGTTTATTACCGATATTGTGTCTGTCGGTAACTGTCTGTTTGCCACCAATTTGATTACCGATATTTCCGTGTTCTTTTCGTGATTGTCCGCGAGATGGTTCGTGCTTTGCAAACATGGCGCCGTCTTCATTTCCTTTTTCTTGTTGTTTCCGGGCGTCGTCTTTTGCTTCCGGGCGTCGTCCAATTCGATGATTTTTACCCGTAGAGAATCCGGATCGGGCAAATCATCCCGCGATTGCATGGCTATACGAAAAGTTTCAAAACTCGCGGGCAAACTATTTAATATAAGCACCGTGAGCAGATCACCGTTAATTTCGACGTCCATTGCATGAAGTTTGTCGACAGCGTCATAAAATTCTGTTAAATGCGTTCGGACATCCATGCCTTCAGTCATCTTGCATAACGTGACTTTATTTAGCAAGGCCGCTTTCTTAGCAGGACCCTTAGATGCGTACACGCTTTCGAGCTTTTTCCACACATCGTTCGAAGTCGCACATCCACAAATTTGTTTTAATTCTAATGGCGAAATGGATAATATGAGATCCGCCTTTGCCTTGCGATCCGCTGCGATCCACTCCTTTTGAAGCTGTTCCGATCTGCGTCGCGCATCACCTTCGCCGGTGATTATCGGCATCGGTATATCACCTGAGACATACGGTCACGTATCATTTTTTACAAAAAGGGCTTCTGCCTGAATCCACCACGTATCGAAATTATCGCGGGTGAGCACTTCTATTCGCGGAGAATTTGCGGTATTCATGTTTTTAATATTTCGCGTGTCACTGGATCGAGAAATTTTCGAGATCGTTCGTGCACTCCGTCGTTTTTTTTTTTTTTTTTTTTACGACATACACCAAAAAGGATTTTTCACTTTTTAGTTTTTAATTTTTAACACTCGCGATGCCTGGGCCCATAACCTATTGAAAAGGAGCAGGCAGAGAGTTTTTATAACTGAATAAAACAAACACAATATCTTGATATAAGAAAAAACTTTATATTAACATTTAAACATTTAACGTGTGTCTTATGGCGATCGAAAAACAAGAGTGAGATCATTATAACAAAAAACTGTTGTCAACGTATTTAAACATTGATAAGAGCAATCAAGAAAGTACAACTCTATTATGTAAGAACACCGTCGTGAATTGCATTTCCAACAATTTTTGTACTAAATGTTGATCTATTTTTATGCAACTTTGTGTACGTAAACTATAGACTAAAATAGAGAATACGTGTTTTTGAAATGTGTTGTTTGTAGCAATGTTTATTAAATGTATAATTTAAAATCACTTCGTGTGAAGAGGGGCAATCAGCATTTTTATTCAAAATATCATTATTTTTACAATTTTTTACAATATTCTGGACATTATACCTTATTCATATGCTGTTAATTGTTTTCTCAATAATTATTGCAAGCATCATAGGTATAAGCGTGATACGGTTCTAGTTACCGCCGCAAGGAACATGGTTTTTTATGGCCAACATTGATTTTGTACTTTTGCGGCCGTAAAGTTTTTAGTCGAAATACAATATTTGGACCTTTGGAAACACTGAGATTTTTAAGAAATTAAGAAAAAAATTAAATTAAATCTTTTTGTAACAATACACAAGATAGGATAAAAAGAAATTATCAGTTAAATTGTATAATGAAGAGTGGAGATGATGATGATGATGATTAGTTTTATGGGCATCGACTGCCATGGTCATTAGCCCAAAGAGTGGAGAAATGGGAAAGTATCGAGAATCTCGAAAAAAACAAGTATCAGATATCTTCCGAATATACCTGACAGGAGAGAATGATAAATGAAATATAAAAACATGAGCGAAAAACAACAAAATGAACAAAGAGCAAAGTAAGTTTAAAAACGGAGGATCTATAATAAATGACCTGAGCATACTTGTCGTAAATATTAGAAAAAGAACTGTAAATAACAAGGAAATTGTTATAACTTTTGTAGATGTAAATAACAGAAATATTGAAAATATGCAGAAAAAGAGTCAACACAGTAGGAAATGACGGAACAAACAGGAAGGAGCAAACGTCGTAATTTCAAGATGCTATGCAAATACCCCTACCATTGATAGAATTAAAAGAAAATTATTCGGAGAAGAAAAAAGGTGATAGCGATTTATAAAGCCATGTACGAGACAATATCAAACTTAAGAAGGAAAATATGCTCATACTTACAGAATCAGTGAATCTGGTTAAAAGAATGATGAATTATATGAAGAATTTGAAGAAAAGTAGTAAAACCTTGGAATAATAAGAAAAATGAATGAGAGAAATAGAAAGGAACAAGATATTGATACACTTATGTATAAAAAGAAATTAAATTACGGTCGCAAAAACTGCAACAATTGGGGAAGTAGACTTCCTATAAAACATCCCTGAAATGAGAGAAATTGAATGACAAATACCTGAAGTAAGCGGAAACGAAAGGGAAAAATACTATGAGGTAGAATGGAACAATAAGAAGAACTCCACGATTCAAATCCTTATACCATTTAGAAAAAAATACCATAAGCAAACTGGGCAGTACAAGAATCAACGACTACAATCTGAGTTGATCCTTATTCAGGAAGAACAAAAAATCTACACAAAAATGTAGTTGTGCATTAGAAAGAGAAGATATAGATCACGTTTTGTGGAGATGCAAAAAGTACAGACAGAGAAGAATACGAATCAGAGGATTCGCAAGAGAATGAGTGGATTAGAGAGTCAGTTTCTACGAAACAACATCAAAAAATATTAAAACAGATTGATGTCTTATTGAATAAGTGTGCTTTGAGGATTTAATAAGTGGCAAACACTGAAGAAACCAAAAACATAGGTGTAATAGATTTAAGTACATTAAAATCCAAGCATAGTAATAAAAATGACGAGAAAGACTGTATTAAATGAACGAATAAGTATTAAAAACAATACAAATTTTATAAAGCATATAAAGAATAGATATACATATGTATATACGTATATAAATATATTTCGTTATATTTAAATAAAATAATTATCTATGTAAGCAAAGATACAAGTGAGAGAAAGAGAGTTTATATGTATAATGAGGGAAGAAGACGTTCAAACTTCGAGCAGTATGAAATCTAACAAATGTAACGTCCCTGGTACTAGAACCTGGTATTTTACAGCACTTATGAAGCAAAGAGCGGCTTTTGTCTATTAAGCGACTCGTTTTTACTATAACTAATTCTAAAAGAATGTGGGATCGTGGTGGCGTGTGGTTAAAGAGTGAAATCTACAGGTTAATACCTTTCATTAATTAGGTTTATTCAAATAATGATGAGAAAAAGAGTTATAATTAACAATTACTTTAGTAAATATAAAAATGTATGTGTGACTGAATTCTATAAGCAAATTTCTATAAGCAAAATTCTATAAGCATTCCAAGATTGTTCTGCACTCGCAGCCGCTGCTGCACGCCCTTTTATATCCAGAGAATCATGGATTATCCCGCTCAAAAAGTAGTTATTATTTTATTACGCTTTATTTAGTAGCAAATGTATATTAGTTTGATTAATAAAAATACGCTTTGATTTATTATTAATTAGTTTTTCACAAGTTTTCCCGTTAAATCGTATTTTTAATAATTTTTAGATACGCAAATTATGTGTTTTAATAGAAGAAATAATTAATCACAAACAATACATAAAATAATAGCTAAAAATATAACGCAATTTATAATGAGTGAATAATTAATAATAACTTTGTTTCGAAGTATATCTTCTGTCTCTTTCTAACTAACGCGCGCGCCATCGATCGGTGATCTACTCTAAACAATGTTGCACGCGTGAGCTACCCCATCCCATTACCACACGAATTTTTATGGTGCAGTCGGTAATTTGAGGTCGATAATAGCTTGGAGTTGATAACTCCAAAAATGAAGTTTTTAGATTTTCCAATAGATTTCACCACAGGGTAGTCAGGTATTTTTGGACAGCAATAAATATCACATGTTTAATAAAGTCTAATTTTGAAAGGTGCAAGTTTGAGATAACGTAAACAAAGAAGATGGGCTTAAACAAACAAATGTGACTCTACGACATTAAATGTCATATACTTGACGCTGTCTCTGAAATAAATACGAAATGTTTACGCTAACAATTACAGACACAAGAATATCGTTTTTTATTAAAAATTCAGCCAAGAATTGTCAGCAACAACGATGTCAATATTTGATTTTCAATATCGAAAATAGACAATAAGCATCTGAATTTATTAGAAGTGTTCTCCATAAAGCTGCAGT